TCATTGTCAAGCAGAAGTAATCACAACATATATACATGCATGATTCATATCAATAAAAGCAACAAACAAGGGTTGCATCACAATAAGACTCACAAGTCCATTACATCCCATTATTCGTTCACATGGATACGTAACTCAACAAAACTCACAAGTTCACGACCAACTAAATGTATATTCTAAGTTAGATATACATTAATTTTGTTTATCGTTTTTATTTAAATTGTAAAACATAATTTACAGAAAAGCGTGAGTCTAAAGTTTGAATATATCAGATGAGGAAATCCTTGAATTGCGTAATCGAAAAGTAAGGAGATAGATATATAGCTTAAATTAGATATGTTTAAGAATGCATCTAACTTTTTCTATGTATAAATACATGTTCTTATTTCTCTTAAAATTTGAAAACACCATCAATTTATTTATATTATTTTAAATGAAGAAACACTTTCAACTCTCGTTCACCGTTCTACCGTTCTAGTTATTTTCATTATCTTTGTGTTAGGTTAGTAAATGAATTTAGAATTGCTTTAACATGCTATTTTTGAAAAAGACATATTTGAATGTCATAGTATTTTCTCTCTTTCAAATACGAGTTTAACTAACTTATAGTATAATTAGTATTAACTCTATACTAGCTAGTTCTCGAAAATTGAGTTACAAATGGTTTATGCTAGACGTAGGAAATTGATTCCCAAAAATGTTTTTAAATTTTACCTACCTATAATGGTTAAGTTTTTTTTTGTTTATTAAGAGATATATGGTCGTGATATACATATTATGAAAAATTATTGTAACATAAATTGATTCAACATGTTTCCATTTTCTTATGTTTTCGCTTCATGCCAATTGAGATCTGATATTTTAATCATAATAACTACAGGGGTAAAGGGGAATGTTCCGCAGAAAAAACCATGGCGTTGTTTTAAATTTCCACTTAAAACAAAAAATGGGCTTTGTGACATGACAAGTTGTCAATCTTTATGTACACAGAGGAATAAAGAATCAAAGGCTGTATGCATGGTGCCTGGCAAGGAACCCAAGGACAGCAATTGTTGTGGGAATTGGCCGATAGGTTACATTCCGCATTAAAACATATTTCATATGAGCTATTTATTTTTTAAAGTTTTGATTTGCAAATTCGAGATTTTAAAACCTTATACTCGTTCGTTTTGCATAAATTATTTTTGATAGTTTAAATAAAAATTATTAAGATTTTTTTTAAAAAGTTATATCTTAATTCGGATATATGTTCAGTTGGTTATGGACTTGTGAGTCTTGTTGGGTTATGTAATATTGTGATGAATAATGATTTGCGTTACTGAGTAACGAGTGGTGCGTCTCAAGTTTAACTACTGATTAGTCAATTTCATTGTTTTAGTATTTTATTACTAGATTTATATCGACATGTTGTGCGAGATTTTAATTTAAACGGTTAACAATACTAATCATTAAATATATATATATATATATATCTATAATTATATTTTTAAATGTAATTTTATATAAACATCTATAATTTATGCCAGAGAATTACTTATTAGTCAATTTCATTGTTCTATTATTTTTTTATTACTAGATTTATATCTACATGTTGTGCAAGATTTTAATTTAAACGGTTAACAATACAAATCATTAAATATATATATATAATTATTATATTTTTAAATATAATTTTATATAAACACCTATAATTTATGCCAGAGAATTACTTATTAGTTAATTTCATTGTTCTATTATTTTATTACTAGATTTATATCTACATGTTATGCGAGATTTTAATTTAAACGGCTAACAATACAAATCATTAGATATATATATATAATTATTATATTTTTTAAAAATAATGTTATATAAACATCTATAATTTATATAATCATTAATTACCTATGCCAGAAAATTTTGCATAAGATTACTCTAACGAAAGTTGTAGTCTGATGAGTAACATGAGTTTATAAATATTTATTTGTCATTTGCTCGTGGACCTTAGGCCATGTCCATTATGTGTTTTTCATATGTAATTTGATAGTTCAAATAAATTTCAGCATTCCCGAATTTTAGCTTTAAGAATATACAAGTCCTGCAAGTTTTCCTTATGATTAAAAGGGCTGCAAACATTATATTAGAGAGCAAGGGAAGATGAGGAAGAATGGGTAAAATGTCAGAGAGCAGAAGAAGAGGTGACCATTGGAAGCTTACCACGAGCAAAGAACCATAGG